CTACTAAAAAGTTCTACACTATGTATACATTTGTTAAGTGGGCGCCTGGATAGTCCTGGTCAGAGGGATAACTAAATAAGCTTATCTCGCTTTTTTACATCACTTCTTATTGAGAGACTTCAGAGATTGACCATGTTTGCAGAGGATATTTCTTTTAGGGACACTTTTAGGCCTTACTCCTTGCAGTTAATCCTTAAACACAATGTCCCGCTGTGTTTTAGATGATGAAGAGCAGGGGTCTCTAACCTGTTGCTCAGGGAGTTACCAGTAGCTCCTCACCCCCTTCCAGGTAGCTCGCCAAAGGATAATCAAATTTACTTAATATTTCAGATTGTATTATTCATTTCATTATGTTTTAGTGTGAATGCTCTTACTTTGTCACTAGTAACAAATATGGGACGATAAATAATGACTGTACCGCTCTTTCACACCAATAAATCCCACCTTTATTTCCCCAGAGAGGCTTAAAGGAGTAGCTCTCTGCCTTTATCGTCCCGGGAAAGTAGCTCTCTGGGTGAAAAAGGTTGGAGACACCTGGTATAGAGTGTGTGCGTGTTTATGACATTCTAGCTGCAGGTCGCTTAAGTCTTGGGCTAGTGTGCAATTGACACGACCTTCATTGCAGTCGAAAAAAGTGTTCTCTTCTACCTCAGCATGTGTCCTGTGGTCAGAGGCTGTGTGGGTGTACAGGTATGTGTGTGTGTGTGTGTGTGTGTGTGTGTAAAAGGGTAGACGAGGGGACTGCTCTGACAGCTACAGGACAACAGGCCTTTCTGCATTAACAGTGTCCCCATAGAGGTGTCAGCTTCGTGGCATTGTGTTTAGCCCCGTGGCGGCATGACCTTGTCTCTCTCTACAGTGGCTATTAATTAGCCAAGCATGTGTGTGTGTGTAAGTGTGAGTGTAAGCGAAAGGTGGTGGTGTGTGTGTGTGGGGGGAGGTCCATCCATTTGCAGTCTGTCTGTCTGCCTGCTGGCCTGGCTACTGCGCTGTCTATATGCGATCAATGAGCTGGCGAAGGTGAGAAGGAGGAGGCTGGAAGGTGCTTTGGAGGAGAGTCTCGGTGGATGGTGTGCTATGTCTTTGTCCGAGTCCCTCCCAGCGCTTCTGCTCCACGGGCGACGATCATGGGCCATGTGCCACTATTCCCCTGCCCTTCATGGCTCTTACTCCCCAAACATCAAGTCATGCTGTGTGAACTCCACAAGCGGCTGATATCTTGGTGCTTGGCTCTGATCGACATCCTCTCGGCCACAAAAGTGATTCTCGCCCTCCCACATCCCCAGCACTGCTTGCTTTCTTGCATGAGCGGCTTCACTGCTGCCTCCTGCACCTCCAAAAGCATTTCACACAAATAGCCGTTTTTGCACAAATTGTACAACAGATCAATTCAATTATATTCACTTCTGGATGAGATACTACGATATTCCTCCAGGGTTTGTGACTCAGGAAGTTGCCTGGGGACACATGTAATCCACTTTCAGAAGTATTTTACTACCTCTTCCATAATTCTAACAAGTTATTAGTAACCTCCATCCCTTCCTCCATGATCCTCTGTTCTTATCACCAATGGCGAAATAAAACAATTCCTGATCTGCTGCTCTGTCTGCACTTCTTTAAACTAAATAAACAAGTAAATCTTCAGTCTTTTTAAAGCGACCATCATTTTCTATTCCGTATCTATATTTTAATACTCTTTCCACCTTATGATCAACAGATTTTCACAGGCTTGATAAAACAATGCTTTAAGGAACAGTCTGTAAACATGTGGCCAAAAGTGGTACTGCAGCCTCTCCCACTCTCCCTGACTCAGGTTGCCAGATATGCAGACGAATCCAGCTGGGACCATAACAGCTGAATAGACAAGAGTTTTGTCAACAACAAATCTATAACCAACACCTTTTTCACAAAGATAGAAATCCTGGTTTTATTCCTTGTTTTGTCGTTAATGATTTGAGAATCATAACGAGAACTTTTTTAGTTCTGTGCCACATGGTACTTTACCAGTGAGATTAGCTCCACGCGGTGAGTTCTGGCGCCCGGATCACAGACTTTCTGATTGGTGAAACGGTGGAGGGCGGGACATCGAAATGAAAACAATAACAAGATTTAGAGGCTGGAAAAGTCATTGATCACTTGACATGAAAATCTTACATATTGCTATTTTAATGCAAAACATGTAATTAATTTTGTTCTCAATCGTGTACATTTCTCTCAAGAACAAGACAGATCGAGTCTCTCTGTGTGTGTGTGTGTGTGTGTGTGCGTGTGTGTGTGTGTGTGTGCTGGTCTGCCTTTACATAAAACAAATCACCTTGAATAACAGCGATGTGAAGAGGAAGAGGTTGGGGTAAACAAACCGCCGGCCGCACTTGTAATGCATGTGTCGTTACTGACCCACTTTTGCTTTAGGGCATTGTCTGTGAACGACGGCGCATTCAAAGCTCCAGAGAAAATGACGCAGTGTTTTTCTTTTCAGAGTTAAATTGTGTTTACGGCATGTGTCCTGAATGTAAACCATCTGCTTTCAGCTTAATGTGCGCACAGACGCCCAACAGGTCCGCTCCGAAAGCACAAGTCCATCAGCTGTGTTTTCCTACAGCACACTCCGAACGCCGCCCGTGGCTAATGCTGTTTTCGCACTTACTCATACACACAGCTGGGATGTTAGAACAGGTGGCCTTAGTTTACAATCATCTCTGCATTTGTCTCGGGATGTGTTGCTTAAGGATATGAAAAACAAATACAGATAAGGAATTATTTTGTGCAGATGACGGTAAAGAAGGTGGAGGCTGGAGTGTCTCTTAACTCATGAAACATACTAATAATGTATGTTTATGTATGTATGTTGATAATCGTATCAAATAATGGTGTTGATGATCTTGATAATTGACTTTTTTAAATATATTTTTTTCTAACACACGCACACACACACAGACACACACACACATATGGTAATGTTTCATGCTGTCTCAATATTTGTATTCCTTTGTACGTCCCCATGTTTTGTCGCTGCTTCAATGTTTTTGTTGTTTTACCAATCATTTTCACTTTTATGTGTCTGTCACTTTTGTATGTCTATTTGTCACTTTTGTGTGTTTATGTGTCACTTTTGTATGTCTATTTGTCACTTTTGTGTGTTTATGTGTCACTTTTGTATGTCTATGTGTCACTTTTGTATGTCTATGTGTCACTTTTGTGTGTTTATGTGTCACTTTTGTATGTCTATTTGTCACTTTTGTGTGTTTATGTGTCACTTTTGTATGTCTATTTGTCACTTTTGTGTGTTTATGTGTCACTTTTGTATGTCTATGTGTCACTTTTGTGTGTTTATGTGTCACTTTTATAAGTCATGTATCACTTGTGTATGTCTATGTGTCACTTTTGTGTGTTTATGTGTCACTTTTGTGTGTCTATTTGTCACTTTTGTGTGTTTATGTGTCACTTTTGTATGTCTATGTGTCACTTTTGTGTGTTTATGTGTCACTTTTATAAGTCATGTATCACTTGTGTATGTCTATATGTCACTTTTGTATGTCTATGTGTCACTTTTGTGTGTCTATATGTCACTTTTGTATGTCTATGTGTCACTTTTGTGTGTCTATATGTCACTTGTGTATGTCTATGTGTCACTTGTGTATGTCTATATGTCACTTTTGCATGTCTTTGTATCACAATTTTTATTTATTTAAGAATTATTTTGTGCGGAGACATGCATTTTAAACAGGTTTTGTGTTTCCGCCGGTGAGTTCCGACAACATTGACCGACTGTTGCAGCATAACAAGTGCAAGGTCACACAGTGCATACAATATTTATGACCTTTAGAGCGTTTCTTGAGGGCTACGGCTGACTTATGTGCTGCGTCCTAATATCATATGCTATAACTTAACAATGGCCATCTATGTAGTCTCTTTGTGTTTGTTTAGGCTTAGTTTTTTGGCTTTAAAGTTTCTTGTTTGTTGAAAAACGTGGCTGAATTTGATTTTCTTTCACTTACTTTACTAAATAGTTTTGGCATTTAAAAGCATATTCACACAAAGATTACAGATGTATTTGAAAATGGGATTTTTAACCCAATGCATCAATATTATAAATAGAGAATTATTTTAAAAACTGAAAGGGTTAAGGCTCAAGTTCAACTCTTTTGCATGACCCTAATAATAAAAAACATTGGGTTCAGGCGTCCGAACCCAATTCTGTTCTCCATAAGGATATTCTAAAAACCCTGTTATATATTTTCTCTTCCTCCACACATCACGGCTCAAGAAAATAAAATTGTCTGATTTCTTGAGGGAACATAATACCGCCTGAATATTGTTATTGGCATTGTCCCAAAAACTACAGAGTTGACCCCGGCTTCTTTCTCAGGACACGTTCTCAGCAGCAGCCAGCTGTTGAGTGACCATTACCTCCGCCTTGTCCCTGCCAGCCTTCGGTGTTGGCCGGAAAGCAGCGCACCTTGTCCAGAGAGCTCGAACCAGTCGGGATTTAGGCTCCGAGCAGCAGTGTGTGTGCGTGTGTGTGTGCGTTTGTGTGTGCGTGCATTTTTGCGTATGTGTGTGTGTGTATGTGCGTGTGTGTGCGTACTGTATGTGTGTGTGTGTGTGTGTGTATGTGAGCGTGTATGTGTGCGTGTGTGTATGTGCGTTTTTGCGTATGTGTGTGTGTATACTGTATGTGTGTGTGTGTGTGTGTGTGTATGTGTGTATGTGTGTGTGGATGTCCTTCAGCACTAAGAGCACTGGAGCGAGATGTAAAGAATGCTAATGAAGTGAATGAGTGGAGTATGGACTGAGTGGAGCTGGCGCATGTACAGTGTGTATGTGTGTGTGTGTGCATGTGCATGTGTGTGTGTGTGTGCATGTGTGTGTGTGTGTATGTGTGTGTGACGCCGATGCTCCCTCTGAAGTCACCAGAGCGCCCGCCAAGGTTAAGTACAGCAAGACGGTGATGGGCTGTGCATTTTAACTAAGGCTTGAGCAAACATGGGCCAACTCCTCTAAATGGTCCCAGTGATGGATGACAGGAACCAGGCCGTGGGTTTGGACCGGTCCCGGATCAGGTCTTTGGCACAGTTCACAAACAGGAAGAGCCACAAACACCTCTGCTTCTGATTGGCTCTGGTCTTAAAAAAGGTCTCGTTATGATTCTCAAATCATTAACGACAAAACCAGGATTTCTATCTTTGTGAAAAAGGTGTTGGTTATAGATTTGTTGTTGACAAAACTCTTGTCTATTCAGCTGTTATGGTCCCAGCTGGATTCATTGTACATCATCATGAATCCTAGAAGAGCCCAATGTCGATCAAGTCCGTCTCTACTGTCGGCCCCTGGACTTTAGTGAACTAAAGTAGCCCTCTAAACCAATAGTTTGTTGACACTTGTTTAGACATGTTTAGCCTAAAAGCTTTTACAACTCGCATCTTTCGCTGACAACCCCAAAATTTCTGCCATGGCAACGTAACCCAGAAATCTCTCACCACAGACACCTTACCATGCAATACTTTTCACCCTATAACCTCAAAGACTATGTTACGATCATTAAACTTCACCAAACAACTCAACTTTCTACCATCAGCAATACTTACAATAGTTTTCCTTTTTATTTTTGCGTCGGTAAAATAAGTGCAGCCTATACATAAAATTGAATCCTACAAATACATCTTAAGTCAGCTAAATTGGTCCTTTACTGTACGCCTTTACCAATATCATTTTCCAGTAAGTTCAATATACAACCTCCACATTCACTTTTAGCTGGATTGATTTTGTCTGTTGTAAAAACCTCTCTTTTCTCCTCCATAAAAGCAGGAGTAGGGCTGCATTAAAAGGCCAGCTCTCTCCCCATCCTGTCTGAGGCCCTGTTTCCTCCCAGAGCACTACAAAAAGAGCACTCTGCAGACTCATAAACACCGAGGAGCAGCTGAGCCAGACGTGACTGGAGCCGGAGCCGTGGCCCCTTCAGCTCTGCACGGGGCCCCGGAGAAGCCAAGGGGTAGTTGACCTCCGCGGTGGGCATAACATTCAGCATCGTTCGTCTCTGTACTTTCTGGTCGTCAAGAAATCTCAGCCCTTCTACTCCTCACTTCACGGTTCAAAATCCAGGTTACCATTTAGCAGGAAAATAAAATCTACCTTTACTTTCTCAGAGCTCAAGACGTCAGCGTGGGAAATTAGGAAATTGTCAAATCCATGATATTCTCCGGAGACAACAAGCATGGATGTGATTGGCTCATCTGACTGGCAATCTGTCTGATTAGATAAACCAGTATTGACAGTTCACATGTAGCCAATTTGCCTGGAGACACTTTCACAGCAGTAACCAATCGTGCATCTGATTGGTGCGTTTGTTTACCAGCTCCAAGGCAGATGCATGTTTACTGTGAGACTTGATTATGGAACATGAGCGGACTCGTCAATTACGATGTTTGGCTCAGCACTATACATGACTGTATGTCCTAAAGCTGGGATACAAAAGGTACTTGAGCATGTTGTTCCTAGCCTGGTCGTACCACACCACAGTACAAATTTCATTTCATACTAAGGTCTGGATTTGCTTCATTGACTCCGTGAACAGGTGGGAGGGGTTAACTCCTTTTGCAGATTGAAACGATTGGATCTGTGTTTACCGTGATGTATGTAGTGCGCCAGAGTGAGTCGTTAGCATTTAGCCTAGCTTTAGCCATCTCCTTTGCCGCTAACAGAGCCCGTGGAGAGTAGCGCCACAATATTTTCCAGTGATTACATTTGCTAAACATTCCTCTTGCTCCGGCTTCAGTTTCTTGATAGAACCAGACCAGATTACTTTACTATCCCATTTTTCGCCATTGCCAAACTACGACCTTCCCGTTCGACGCAAACTCTTGACATCACCCACAACTAACTACAACACCTGCCTCCCGCACTCTCTGATTGGTCGGTCGAAATACGACCGATTGTAATCTCAAACACAGGGACCAGACCCAGACGTTACATGCAGTGAAATGATGATTGAGCGGAGAGTACAGATGGATAAGACCAGGCTAGGTTGTTCCCAATATTATTCCTTTTTATTTCCCAATGCTTTTTTTGTTGTAAAGTCAGGAAGGGTTCGCAGTCTTGAGTAGGCAGCACTCACACTTTCCATTAAAATAGATCTTAGTTGAATGCACCAGCAATATGACAAACGTCTATGTAGATGCATGTATTCTTGGGTTTCACATGACGTCAGGGCAGTGAAATGACAAACGTAGGACAGGACGTGACGTATCCTGGCGGTGCAGTCTGCCGGGTTTATACACGGAGATATAGTAGAAGAAGAAGCGGTTTATACACGGAGATATAGTAGAAGAAGAAGAGGTTTATACACGGAGATATAGTAGAAGAAGAAGCATCTTTGTGTGCGGTGTACGCTTGTAGCAACCGCACAAATAGAGAAAGACAGAGTTTGTTCATGTTCCAACTGTGGTCTCATATAAAAGAGGACACTTTGAAAAAATCACAGGAATGAGGCGGGCGAGGTGGATCAAGGCTTTCCCAGATAAGCGCCCCCTGCAGGCCACCCTAATGAAACGCAGGAAATTCTTCTGTTTTTCTTTCCAAAAACGCCCAAAATCAAGACTCTTTTGAGAAATATTTGTTAGTCCTTCCTTAGAATTGAGTGTCCCCGATTAAGACTGTTCCAACAACCGTACACCGCACAGGAGGAGAGCCTTTGACTCCAAAACAGACTTTACATGGTTTTCAATGGGAGCAAAACTGTCCCACCTCTGCTCATGCGCCCCCTACTGGCCAGTTTAATGAAACCCAAGAATACTTATAAGTCTGTTTGATCATGTTTGATTAATTGAAGCCGATGGAGCAGGGATGTCAAAGTCAGATGCATCAGAGGCCAAAATAACAAATTTGCTACAAGCCGAGGGTCAAACTGGTTCAATATTTATTAAAAGGATTATATATAACCTATTGAACCAACACCTTACACTGTGAGCTGTATTTGAATGATTAAATTAATAACCCAATATTTTTTGTAAGACTCATTTCAGGTGAAAACATTTTTGAACAGCGCACAGACAAAAACTAACTTCCTTCAAGGAGAAAGCACTCTTTCTTGAACATTAAATGAATAATGAAATGTTAAAATAATTTCCGGGCTTGTGCGGCTAGTTCTAATACTAGTCAAATATCATCGCAGGGGCCAAGGTAAGAGTTATTTGCGGGCCGGATCTGGACCCCGGGCCATGACTTTGACACCCATGCCATAGAGGATTGTATTGTAATAATAGGCAAGACACTTTACCCCCATTGCCTAGAATAAGTCTGGTGTGTGTGAATGGTTGGTGGTGGGAGGGGCCGATGGCACAGACGGGTTGCCTCGCTTCTATCAGTGTGCCCCAGGGCAGCTGTGGCTATAGTTGTAATTTATCACCTGCTGTGTTTTGAGTCAATGAATGATGTAAAGCGTCCAAAAAAGCGCCGTATAAAACCGATGCATTATTAGTATTGATTCACATATGGATCCTGAATCAAACTAAATCTGAATTGCTTAATCATTACCCCCATTATAGATCAATGATTGCTGTAAAAAGTAAGATTAAGTGTCAGCACAAAGGCCACACTTCGGTCCTCACCAAGTCAAACATGAACATTAACCCTCGAGCCCTCGGAAAAGCATGGGTCAAATGCAGAGGACATACTTCTCTACAGGGACCATAAAGTATACCTTAACCTCGGCATCACGTCACCTGTGGCTCGGCCTGGCAGTGACGGATGAGGCTTTATTCACTGCCATGTGCACTATTTCTGGACAATAGTCTTCCGTAGATGCTGCGCCGCTCAGCAGTAGCACTTACAGGCCCCACCAGCCCCTGTATTTCCATATATACTATGTGCTATGGAGTATAACGCCTCTCCGTGCTGACTGCCGCTGCCTGGGATGCAAATGAGCTGTGACAGAGGCGGGGCTGAGGGGGGCTTAATGGGGGGTGGGGGGGGGGGGGGGCAGTCATGGCAGCCTCAAGAGCAGGAAACAGGCATGGGAAGTGAAAGGGGTAGATGGGATTTCTTCAAGCCCACTACGTTTGGAAAATCAATAAAACAGTGTGATGTCATTGGTGCAGAGGTGTAATCTTCCCACAATACAATGCAGATGACTTACTATAGAGACGTATTGTGTACGTGAAACCACATGGATTAATGCGGTGTATGTGAGACAGAGTTATGTTGCCAAGATCACATTTCTATACTGTTACATCTCTGTATCGTGTCTGTGTGTTCAAATCTTTTTTTAAAGTTCAAATTTCAATATGGATTTATTCTAAATTGAAAATATTATGGACACATTTTACACATTATTTACAGTAACTTTTAATATCAGCATTCTCGAGCTCATCTTTTAGCCCTTTTCCTAAATTCAAGCTGGTTTTGTGCTCGTCTGCGTGCGTGTGTGTGTGTGTGAGATTGGGGAATGAGAGCTAATGTGTGTGTAAATATATGTGTGAGTAAATATTAGTTCATATAATGTCCTTTCGTTCACATGAAGACGGTGTTTCAGGTGAAAACGTTGAGACACAGACTCCAGAGTGGAACAGAACAAGAATTTGATCTGAATTAGCAGGTTGTAGTTCAACAATGGCAGCGAATACCATAGTAAAGTAATAGAGCTGAAACAACTAATCGATTGAATCGATTAAAATCGATTATTAAAATAGTTGTCAACTAATTTAGTCATCGATTAATTGCTAAATAACTTTTATTTTGCCGTAAGCGGCTCATTTTGTGCATATTTTAACTCTGCGGTGACCAAATGGTGGCAGTAATGAGCCACCGGAGGTTTTACAGCAGGAGAAGTAGCGAATAGCCAATAGCTGGCCTCCTTTTATGTCACATGCTTCGCGCACAGCTTCTCTTCAGCATACAGCAAGATGGCGGAGGCAAGCGGCAGTGGAGCTCGAGAAAGAAAAGGAAAAAAGCAGGAGACAAACCTAATCGAACAAAGTCATCCAAAGTGTGGGAGCACTTTACTTTGAACCTTCAAAAAAGAAGAGTAACCTGTAAACTCTGTGCTACTGACTTGGCCTGGCACGGGAGTACTACGTCTCTGCGTGAGCACCTTAAACATCTCTCTGCAGTACTGACTGTTTGCAAAAGATGGCGCCACACTCACTGTTTTAGGCATAAAGTTGATCTTTCAACTAATTTGCACAAAGATGTAAAAAAACAAAAAAAACATTTATCCAGTTTATCAACTTAAATAAGCCTGGTTCGGGATTTTAAACGACTTCAGAAGCCCTAAGGATTTTTATGGTGAAAACATTATTGGAAATCTCCTTTTGAAATTTGCTAGAGTATGTAACGGTCAGTGTTTTGTTTTGATGGTCCACATTGAGTTCAACAAAGGATTACAAAGACATAACAAACAGCTCCAGATATGTTTTTGATGTGGATATGAATATGTAAAATGATTAAAATCTCTAAAAAGTCTATGTTGAATGATGAAGGCCCTTTGTTAACAATTTACTTGGAAAAAAATTGGCAAAACTAAAATATAAGTACATAAACCGATTAATCGATTAGTCGTGAAAACAATCGCCTGATTAATCGTTTATCAAAATAATCGTTAGTTGCAGCCATATAAAGTAATCAGTTCTGGTTCTATCAAGAAATTGAAGCCATTGATGTCAAAGAAGATGGCGAGGCTAAATGCTAAAGCTAGGATAAATGCAGTCGCTCATGGATTATTCAGAATGGCAGAATGATCGTTAGTTTGTAAATGGACCTTTAAAGCCTATTTCAGATTTAGGATCATTCCGTTTTTAAACATGCTCTCGGTAGATCATGAAAGGGATAATGTTGGTTTTTCCATGAGCGGACCTCTCGGGACAATGTCGTCTTTTGGTTTTATAAAGTTCTGTGTCAGAGGCGTGGGTCTAGACCGGACGGCTCTTCGATCTGGACCCAGACCAGAATCCACTTATTGATGATTTGGTTTTCACTAAATCTGATCAGACTGATACTGACCTTTATTCAACCGGGTTTTTATCAAATTGTTCATAAATGTCATTAAAGCAAAAGATCATTATTATTGACATCGTGACTATTATGTGCTAACTTTTTGTCTTCTTTCGTCTAAAAAATCTAAAAACAACTAATACGACTTGTCTTATTTGAATATATCTGAACCGGCCCTCTCCATCTACACCTGCGGACTGTCCTGCTCAACCCGCCTGGGAGCGCTTCAGTCCTGCACCGGACCTGTCCACGTTCTGCGGCCGATGCATTGGTCCTCGTTCTGTAGCTTAGGTCCTGGATCTAGAGCAAAATGTGGGTCTCCCCGAGGTTTTTGTGAGTTTTTCCTCTGATGCAGGAGGGTCTGTTGGGCAGTTAGTGTCCAACTAGAAGGACTGTGATGATCCAGGACACTTTAACATTCTGCAACATGTATGAGATTTATCAACATTCATGGACATTGGTCTCTCCCTATGGACCAATACCATGTGTTCTATATTCTGTGTCTGAACTGTTGATTCTCTGATCTGTGTTGGTGATTTCAATGGTTTTGTTGAGTCTCTGAGATGATGCTGTTGGGATTTAGGGCGATACAAGAATTGTATCGCCCTAAATATTTAATATCAGATCTTTGGTAATGTAGCGGTGACAGTGGCTCAGCTGGTAGATAACTGGTTTGAACATACTGGTCGTGGGTTCGATCCCCCCCACAACCCATGTCATCTGCTTTCGTTTGTGTCCTTGGGCAAGACACTTCATCCCACTTTGCCTGAAGCCCCCCACCCCCCCTTCATGGTCCAGATTTCTATTGGAGTAGGAGGGCAGGTGCCAGTTCAACTTGATCGGAAACCTTCATAGCTTTCCCTAGATCATATTGTGATGGATTCCCAAACCTGCCTACTCATTCTAATGTCCAAAAGCTTTTTTTTAACTAGAAAACGATGTGTTTGTTTTTGGAATATTTCAGAGAACAGGGTGATATTGCACTCAGCTCTGATGTCCAAAAACTTTTATTTATCCATAACGTTTCAGCTTCATGCCTTCATCAGATCATGTTTTTCTTTTTCTTTTGACCACACTTTGTTGTGTATTTTGTGGTACCCTGTTTTCTGAAACATTGATTCTCGCAGCTGCATCTCATTAATTAATTTTTTGGTGTTATTCTCACCAATATTCCACCACAATGTTAAACTCTAGGCTCGCTGTCAGAATAATGCAATTTGTTGGTCGTCCTCTCTCTTTTTGTCTTCATCTTTCTGACTGTTGCCATGCAGTGCCCCGTCCATCTGTGACCCGGCAACTGTTGCTAGGAACGGCTCTGGAAGATAATTTGAGCCTCGACTCCCATAATTCCACGGTGTATGTGTCCACACAGCGTTGCTCTTTGCTTCGCCTTTGAAGCCCGGCACGCCTCAGTCTCCCGTTCCCAACCTCCTTGTGCGTCCTTCACCTCTGATTTGAATCCAGCGGCGTGTCTTTTAGCTGTCACTTAGCCCCACGTTGTTATCAGAGCGGGAGAGCCCATAGGAGCGCCCGGTGATGGATTGAGTTTGGTTCTGTCCGCTGGCCGTAATGGGGCATCAGCTCTGGATAAATAAGTTTGCTAAATGGATGGACACGTCTGAGTGGACATGTCTGAGTGGACACATCTGAAGTGTAATGGAAATACGGTGTGTGTGTGTGTGTGTGTGTGTGTGTGTGTGTGTGTGTGTCGGGGGTATAGAGGGCGGTGGGGTTAAGCATTTTGCACAGAAGGCGTCTGAAGGATATAGATCCTCCATTATTTTTAATTTATTTTGGCCACCTTCACTTGTGTTGCAGTTGGCGTAGTCCTGGTAATCTGTTTTAGAGCTGGATAAAAAAAACATTCTTTTCAAATGGGACTTTTTGGGGTTAAAAGGTGAAGCAAGACAAGTTGATTTATTTGAAGCTTAAGAGCGAATTCAGAATGGAAGAACAAAGAAAGGTCATCCTGCCGCCTCTGCACTGACTCCTCCCCCTCTGCACTGGCTCCTCCCACTGCACTGACTCCTCCCACTGCACTGAGTCTTCCCTCTGCACTAACCTGCCTCCCTCTGCACTGACTCCTCCCCCTCCCTGTTTACTGACTCCTCCCTCTGTGCTGACTCTTCCCACTGCTCTGACTCCTCCCTTTGTGCTGACTCCTCCCTCTACACTGACCCCCCGTGAATGCACTGACTCCGCCCCTCTACACTGAGCTGAAATTCTACACTGGCTCCTCCCACTGCACTGACTCCTCCCTCTACACTGGCTCCTCCCACTTCTCTGACTCCCCACCTCCCTCTGCACTGGCTCCTCCCCCTCCCTGTTTACTGACTCCTCCCTCTGCACTGACTCCACCCCTCTGCACTAGCTCCTCCCTCTGCACCGACTCTTCCCATTCAGCATTTGAGGCGTTTAGCTCAAGCTGATGTTCGAGTAGCATCCCTCCTCCTCCCCATCACGGTCTCTTCAGTGCAGTATCATGTCATTTCTTCGGCTCAGCCTCTTCACCACCAGGTTCTAGGCCCCGAGGGGTCGCAAGCTCATCGTTTCATTTAAACTCCCTTCTGCAGACGTCATGCGGTTTTCCTGCTGGGGTCTAATCTCCAATCTTAACAATAAATATCTTAGTCTCAGTCTATCTATTCTTGCATCTAAATATAAATAAAAATAAATATTCTAATACAATCTCCGTCTCGAGTCGCTTCAGATTTAAATATATTTACAACACATACTCAGAAACTCAGTCTCGGCAAAACAAGGAAGTAGTAAATAAATGATCAATTCTTGTAATTATCATTCTCTGATTTGTTGTTTATGTTGTGGCCAACCTTGCATGTGAAAGCTAGACCCTGTCAGACCTCAGAGGCTAAGCAGGGCAGGGCCTGGTTAGTATTGGGATGGGAAACCTCTGGGAAGGCTCAGCTGCAAAGTGCCAAACTGTAGTTGTGTCCTTAGGCAAGACACTTCCCCCACATTAGAATGAGTCTGGTGTGTGTGTGTGTGAGTGGTTGGTGGTGGTTGAAGGGTCAGTGGCACAGACTGGTCCTGTCAGTGTGCCCCAGGGCAGCTGTGGCTACAGTAGTAGTTTATCACCGTGTTTGGAGTGAAATAACCGGCGTAGCGTCTTTGAGCGTCCTTAAAAGCGTTGTTTAAAACCAATGCTTTATTATTTTCTTGAAGCTGTGCAAGAGGGAGACATAAGACAGACATAAACGTACACAATAAAACACAAACCAGGAAAACCCAATCACAGTAACTTTTCTTTCATTTTTAGGTAGTTACACTGCAAAAATCACAAATTTTTGCATTGTTGGGTCGAAATATGCGGCGGTTTTTAAGTCTGTGCGCAAACAATACACTGGCATGAGAAAATTGGCCCATTTCACAGCAAAAGAAATGACTAGGAAAGTGAATATCCTGGATGACTAAAGTGTTTGCATATACGGCTCTCCGTGTGTAAACAGACCAGCGCAGACAGAGGAGCGTGAGACGAGTATTTGGCAAAGACCCATCCCTGCCTTCCCTCTGGGCCTGCAGCTGAACTGTGATACTGGGATACAGCAGTAACAAGGAATTGACTTGACTGGCTGTCAGCACACATCATCATAAGCGCTTCCGAAAATGGCATCAATTTGCATGACTATTTTGTGAGGGTTATGAAAGACCGTCCAGTGAGAAGTTTAAAGGAGAAAAATAACATTAAAATTGGACCTTTTTGCGTTTTTTTTAACCTTTTTTATTCATATTTATCTTAAGTTTGCATATTTTTGTCCTGCATTAAATGTGGGAGTACTCACAAAATGTCTGTTTTCACCCACATTCTCTGCCCATTGCTTTGTTCTTGATATGAAAGATATAGAAATTGTTAAATAAGGCACATCAGTAGAGCTTGGTTAATTAAGTAATCGTTATTGATACAGCGCCTTTCACAGACCAGAGTCACAAAGCGCTTTATAATCGTGGGCATTTATCTCAACAGGAGGCACATGCCAGATCTATTGTAGAGGTTTTTAGTGGTAGGGGCAACCGGAGCACCCGGAGGAAACCTGCATACAGAACAGAACATACAGACGCCACTCAGAAAGGCCTTGTTCCGACCGGGATTTGAACCTCATCTTTGCTGAGAAGCAAGAGGGCTAACCACTCAGCCACCGTGATGCCCGTACTAGTGAAGAATATAGAAAATACATACATAAAGCCTGGTTAAATGACAATATCTTCTTCAAATCATAACAGTAGATAAAAGTTTACTTCCAAACTCTAAATTTCTAACGGAGGCAATGACAGTGGGAATTGTTGGTATATGGAACACATCAGTCAAACATTAAACAAGAAAATGTTTGGGTAAAAGTTGGATTTTGCGTCTTATTCCCCAACAATAGCAATGCTAACTTTTACATGATGGATTCTAGCATGATAGATTGCGTGATTGTGACTTCCAGACAATTTCAGACATGTTTGACTTTTCTTTGTTATCCAGTCTAAGGTTGATTAACTACATTTGTAATTTACGCTCCTGTTGGGGTGGCAGATGTAAATTCAGCAAGAATCATTTATCACATTAGCAGCAGTAGGATTACAGGATATTGTGCGCTTGCCATCAGTGACGTCAGGCTTAAATTAATAAAAGATGTTTGTGATTCTGGAGGTGGAAAATGGAGGATCTAATCAAGATTTGATTGGCTACGTGCATAATTCCACACAGATACACTGCAGAGAGATCCTGACTGCGATGAGCTCTGACTACGCACAGGTACAGTCTGTAAACGCTTAAACAAGACGTTGGCCGGAGTGGCTTTTATGTGCCCAAATGTAGCTAAACAGGCCGGCGACGCACTTTCTGTTGGTCCCTAATTCAAAAGACCAGTGGGGGCGGGTCCTCCTTGCCGGTGGTGGGGGTGTACACGGAAAGAGAATTGCCCAATGCTTTTTTTAGGTAATTCGTCGTCTTTCCTCTCGAAAACCTTTTTACAGGATGGTCTAAAAGTTGCTCTTGGTCCAGATGAAGTTGATGTTGAGTATATGTTTTTGGACCTGTCTAGTTTAGCCGCTGTGGACTTTTGAATGCACTCGTTAAATGAATAGGGCTAGTGCGGCAAACCCATGTGCAAAAGCGTTTTTTCACATTATCTTGTCCAGCGGCCATTTTGAAAAAGCCTGGAGAAGGCAAAAGTGGTGGCACATTAGTTTCAAAGATGGAGATAGGTGTCACTACGTCTGTTAATATTTATACTATGTAATCTTAAGAGACCACAGACTGTATTATAGAGAAATAAAACTTAAAACTCAGTAACCAATGATTCGAAAATACGAAACCACACATACTGTACCATCCTCCCGATGATTGAGTAGTGTCACATTTGGTGATTAAAACACATGACACTGTCTCCAGCTCCGAAGATGCCGTTGTCGAAAAACAAAATGTACTGTATTTGAAAAAGTTGTCTTTATTTGAGTGAGTTTTTTAGTTTTAGTGCTGCCACATTTGACTAGACTCATATCCAAATGAATAGATATTTCTAAAAGTAGCTAAAAGAGACCTTTTTCTCTGTTCTGGTCCAAAGGAAAATGCTAAATGCTTTGTTAGCATTTTTCAAAAAGTTAGCATTCCTACGGTGGATTTTTCTCCAGTTTGAATCCCCTCCGACCAATCAGAGAGCGGGGGAGGCGGGTGTTGTAGGTCGTTGTCGGTGACGTCAAGAGTTTGTGCTGAATTTGCTGGTTGTAGTTTGTCGGAGAATGCGATAGTAAAATAATCTGTTCTGGTTCAATCCAAATATCAAGAAACTGAAGCCGGAGCAAGAGGAATGTTTAGTAAATGTCATTGAAGCAGAGATGTTGTTGCTCTACTCCCCACGGGCTCCGTTAGCGGCAAAGGAGATGGCTAAAGCTAGGCTAAATGCTAAAGCTAGGCTAAATACATCATGGTAAACTCAGATCCAATGGTTTCAATCTGCAAAAGGAGTTACACCCTTCCACCTGGTAACGTCAATGGAGACCAGGCTAGCATAACTTACTTAAACTTAAGTAATTCACAACATCTTCTGTCATCTTTTAAAAGCATAATGAAACATCCAGTGTATAATTTATTGTGTTTGCGTTGGGTTTCCGTCGCAAATTAAAGCAGAGTCTGTAGTTTAGTCCCTCGCCACATCCTCATCCATCACATATAACGTCGTCAATCTGTTACTTTGCTCCAGTCTTAGCTACGAGAAGTTTCTGGCTCTTTTCCCTCATGAAACAACACGCTTTAAATCTTCAACTTTGTCTAACTTCTCCCGGCAGCCATTACTCAAACTGCAATTGGACTGAAGATTAAAATCCTTTACACAGGCGGTATGACACTGCATCGGCTAATTTAGAGCTCGTTTGGATGATAGATTTAAACCATGGGGGTATTGGAAGCACACATTTAAGAGAAGGGAAAGCTTAGGGTCTTATCTCCGGGCTAGGCACCTGAAGGTCAAATAGACAAAATGAAAAAAAAGATGATGAAAAACCACAGAGTGAAAGACAAGTCTGAAACCAGGGCGGGGATGAGCGAGGTTAGGGCGGGTCCGTGCATAATTACATTTTCTGTTCTGAGCACTATTGGGAATCAATAATGTAATTCATAGAAAAGCCATAGAGCTGCCTCACATTGGTATTCACCGACATGGGCCACGCTACATCCCAAAGAATTAAAACCACCGGTGCAGGAGGGGGTAGGAGGGGGCAGGAGGGAGGTGGGGGTGGGGGGGACGTGTGGGGCTTTCAGACAACTCCGCTGCTACATCTTTACGACAAGGCCCACTGCCAAAACACCAGAAACTTCTTACTCAAGTTTTGCATTCAAATGTGTGACGTTTTTAAGTCATTAATATGTAGATTACTGTAAACGATGGGCTACTTTCTAAATGAAGTATTGAGTCTGTTTTGTTTGTTGCATGTTAAAATGTGGCCAAAAGTGGTACTGCAGCCTCTCCCACTCTCCCTGACTCAGGTTGCCAGATATGCAGACGAATCCAGCTGGGACCATAACAGCTGAATAGACAAGAGTTTTGTCAACAACAAATCTATAACCAACACCTTTTTCACAAAGATAGAAATCCTGGTTTTATTCCTTGTTTTGTTGTTAATGATTTGAGAATCATAACGAGACCTTTTTTAGTTCTGCGCCACATGGTACTTTACCAGTGAGATTAGCTCCACACGGTGAGTTCTGGCGCCCGGATCACAGACTTTCTGATTGGTGAAACGGTGGAGGGCGGGACATCGAAATGAAAACAATAACAAGATTTAGGGGCTGGAAAAGAGCAGTTTATTATTATGACAGATTAGGGCCCTTTAATGATGACAGAGTAGGGCCCTTTAATGATGACGGAGTAGGGCCCTTTAATGAGGACAGATTAGGGCCCTTTAATGAGGACAGATTAGGGCCCTTTAATGATGACAGATTAGGGCCCTTTAATGATGACGGAGTAGGGCCCTTTAATGAGGACAGATTAGGGCCCTTTAATGATGACAGATTAGGGCCCTTTAATGATGACAGATTAGGGCCCTTTAATGATGACAGATGAGGGCCCTTTAATGATGACAGATTAGGGCCCTTTAATGATGACAGATTATGGCCCTTTAATGATGACAGATTAGGGCCCTTTAATGATGACAGATTAGGGCCCTTTAATGATGACAGACTAGGGCCCTTTAATGATGACAGATTAGGGCCCTTTCATGACTCGACACAATCTTACATGTTGCTGGACACATCCTTCATACTCTGGACACATTTTGAGATATCCGCAAACCATCACATGACCTACTTGTGTGTGATTTGAAACAATACAATGACAGATCTCTTTTTAGCAAAACTGTCGCAGATAAAGCACAGATAGAGTTCTGCCCGGGCTGTGTGGGGCCGGTGCCGTGCTCTCAGCAGTGGCCTCGGGCTCACTCACTACTTCAAGCCTCATTTGCTCCCTGATTGGCCTGAATGTCTCCAGCCTTATCCTGCATGGACCACTAAGGCTCTAAGGGTATTTATACTCCAGGAAAACGGGAACAGAGACATCAGACTGGGAATAAAATACTGTTGCGAGTCCAATTCCATGCTAAATTAATTTGGTGTACGATGGATAAAATCTAGACCTTAGTACGAAATAAAATTAGTACAATGGTGTGATAAGACCAGGCTAGCATTACTTACTACTTATTAGTCTAGTTTCTTCCGTCATCTTTTAAATGTATAATTAAACATCCAGTGTATAAGTTATTGCAGGGGTCTCCAACCTATAGCTCAGGAGCCACCAGTAGCTCGCCAGCCCCTTACAGGTAGCTCCCCAAAGGAATTAGAATTTAACAAATACACTTCAACGAATACTTTTTGACTCATTTCATATCTATTTCAAGTATAAATATAGGGTTATGCAGCATTATGGTGTATTTTATTTGTGTTCTCTGAGTTTGGTTGTAATTATTAGATCGACTTTTATTACGACTGCAAAAAGGAGTAGCTCTCTGCCTGTTTGTTTGTATAAAAGTAGCTCTCTGATTGAAAAAGGTTGGAGACTCCTGATATATTGTGTTTTTGTTGGGTTTCCATCCATCCATCCATCCATTTTCTTCCGCTTTATCCGTTGCCGGGTCGCGGAGGCAGCAGTCTAAGCAGAGACGCCCAGACTTCCCTATCCACACACACTTCCTCCAGCTCGTCCGGGGGGACCCCAAGGCGTTCCCAGGCCAGCTGAGAGACATAGTCTCTCCAGCCTATCCTGGGTCTTCCCCGGGGCCTCCTCCCGGTGGGACGTGCCCGGAACACCTCCCCAGGGAGGCGTCCAGGCACCAGGAAACCCAACAAAGGTGCCGCCTTTGTTGGGTTTCCGTAGCAGATAAAAGCAGAGTCTGTAGTTTAGTCCTTCGCCACATCCTCATCCATCATAAATTACGTCAATCTGTTATGCCTCGTGTACATGGGACCGGCAACTGATTATATCCGTTGCATATGAGTTGCTGCCCCGCACACATCAACAATCTGGCAAAAACGGGCAACTCCTGTATCAGGCCAGTCTGGGGAATAACAGCAACTGGCCTCAACTACAGTGTGTTTTCTGGCATAAACTGTAGAGGGCGCAATACACGCAATACACACATGTTGTTGGAGCACATCGGTGATATCTCCGGATCTGAGGACGACTAGTTGCCTAAAAGTAGAACACGGGCAACTGACTGAATCCGGAGATCGACTGTTTATCTCCAGTTGTAAGAGCGCTCACATCGACCGATTTCAACTGATCATCTCCATCATCTACTCTCAGTCGCCAAAAGCCGCCTTGAAACTAGTTGTCTCCAGTTACTCTGTCCATGTACGCTGGGCCTAACTGTCTTTGCAACGAGGACTTCCTGTTGCGAGTCCAATCCACTGCTAAATTAATTTGGTGTATTAGTCGTGGTTACAGATGATTCTTTGCTTGAAAAAGAGCAGAGTGAGTCTTCTGTCAAAAACCTCGAGCACAGACACTGCAACACACCGGAGCGGATGAATTGTTGTGTAACTGTGTGAGTACGAGTGTGTTTCAGACCAAAGCTGTTTACAGTCTGCCAATTATGTTTTCTCCCACGCGCTCTGTTCTTTTAGAGAACAAAACAAAATTTGTCCTCGGGTTGTGGGGATGGCCTTTTGACTTTAATTTTTTTTTGGTTTATGATAATTGAACAGGTCCTTTGAGATGTTTGTTTTAGATAAAACAAAACCAGACATCTTGTCTTTCTCGAGATGTTATCACTTTAGTTTTGTTTGCATCAATTTGACAAAAATCCTGTATTTTGGTATTTTATGATCTCAAATGGAGATCACAAAATACAATTTGGAAAAAATAATAATAGTGGTAGTCATCTTTATTTACATCCATCCATCCATTTTCTTCCCCTTAATCCATTTCTGGGTCGGGGGGGGTGGCAGTCAGAGCTGCACCCAGTTCACAGAGCACCAGCCCCTCACTGATCCTCCTGCAGGTGCTGAATCTACAGGAGCCTTGATCTTTCGCCGGGGGCTTCAGGCAAAGTGGGGTTAAGTGTCTTGCCCAAGGACACAACGACAGAAGACAGCAGTGGGAGTCGGTTGAGAAGGGGTCGAGGTGGGAAACAAACCCACAACCTTCAGGCCTTAAAGCCAATGCTCTACCAACTGAGCTACTGTCGCCCCTCTTTATTTACAATTAGGAGTTATTAGGGCAGCACGGTGGCTGAGTGGATAGCACTCTTGCCTCTCAGCAAGAAGGTTCGAATCCCGGTCGGAGGGATTCTTGGGTGGAGTTTGCATGTTCTCCCCGTGTCTGCTCCGGTTTCCTCCGGGTGCTCTGGTTTCCCCTACCACTAAAAATATGTCCAATAGTTCTAACATGTGCCTCCTGTACTGGCCCCGCTCCCATCTCTGTGTGGAGTGAGAGACAAATGCCCAAAAATGATAATTGTAAACCGCTTTGTGACTCTGGTCTGTGAAAGGCGGTATATAAATAAAGATTACTTACTTATTCATCATACAAAATCAAGATAAGATAGACTTTATTGATCTCACACATGAGAGATGTACAAGTCACATCTGGCACGAATAGAATCACTCAAGATTGTGCAGAAGAAAGAAATGTGCAACATGTTAAATGCAGGATATATTATGAACAATAAAAAGTGCCGTAAAGAACCGGGATCACAATTTCTCAGGACAGGGACCCTTTCTTTTCTTTTACAGAATTTCATATGATTCAATTTGTACAAAACTTAGCAAAACATCAGATATTTCTCTGAATTATAATTAACACTTTTTACCATAAACAGTCATATTATAAAGGCACAATAAACACCTTTGATGTTCAAGGATCAAGTTGTCATTATCATTTCTTCTCAAACATTTTGTTATTTATTTAAACATATTTACGTTTGAGCAAAGTGCGTTAAAACAGTGGGTAGAATGATCCAGATGAGAGAAGGCAGTTGCCCCCGCTATAACAGCCCCGCCCCCAACTTTCCTGACCAATGGAAATGTGGGTAATGTTTAGTGTGAAAAATCAGCAGAATATCTCCTCTGCCCTGACTTATACTTTGCTTCATGATGATAACCATTGACGCCAAACCACAACTAATGTTCACAACAATATTCGTGAGCTTGACTTCCTCATGTGTCTAAGAGCGGTGGCGTTTACCCAGCGGGCGCTCACGTGCTCGCTCTCCGTCATGATCTGTTAAGGGCTCGACACACGGGAGGCGACAAATGAGAGCGATCAGCGAAACTCAACGCTGTCGCTCAGATAACATGACAGACGGGGCGCGATGCGGCTTGACGACAGCGTCGAAAAGTTGAGCCGATTTCAACTTTCTGGGATCGCGTCGCTGACCTGCGCGTGCACGATACATGCACGAGCAGGAGGATTTCACACGCACGTTTTTCGCCCGTCGCTAAGCAGGAGGCTCGCTAGCGATTGACGCTATGTCGCGCACGTCCCATTGAAATGAATGGAGGCGATGCGATGTCGCCTCCCGTGTGTCTAGCCCAGTCGAGTCACATCGGGACAGAGCTCAGACCCAGCAGGCTCCAAACAGGACACGATCTGCTGCACCATCCCACTGCTGAGTGCTTACCACGTACATGTTCTCTCTCTCTCCACAGCCGCCACAGGAAGTCCCGCCCACGATGCGCTCACAGCCGGCCACCCCAGGACGAGAGTGCGCCGGGCCACCGCGGAGGACACCTACTGGGCCTATTCAGGTAAACACTCCACACTGCATAAATACTGCGGCTTCATAACTGCCCTGAGTTCACTCTCTGGGCTTTTGGTCACGCCTTGTTTTGGCAAGTGTTGTCAGGGAATGGTTTAGAATGTGATTCACTTTTCAGAGAAGTTGGGTGAAGGTTAAGGCTGTTAAAATGTGTTGAATATTTTAGTCCTGAAGTGGGTAAATGTACTTGTGAAATGAACTTGTTGGGCATAAATTAAGTTTTATGTCGGCTCAGAATGTGCAGTTGTGGAATTCTGAGTTGTTTAAATGCAGAAATATACTATACTATATATATCTTGCTTGTCAAACTGTTGCAGGATTTGTTTGGATTATTCTGTCAGTCTATTTTTAGGTTTTCAAAGTATGCTCTAAATATCAGATGAGATGTACTGAATGAGAAGTCACTGTTTGTTAGGGTTAGGGAAAAAAACCAGTGTAGGCGGGTCCAAAATGTCCATGAGCATGTGTGCTGAAATACTTGCAATCTCACTCCTTGCTGGTGGGGGTGTACCCGGAAAGAGAATTACCCAATGCTTTTGTATGGTGTCTTCTTACCTTTCGAAAACGTCTTTACAGAGTGGTCCAAAAGTGGCTCTTGTCTCCAGATGCTGTCCATGCGGAGGGGAGTATATGTTTTTGGACCAGTCTAGTTCAGCCGCTGTGGACTTTTAAATGCACTCGTTAAATGAATGGGGCTCATGTCGGATAATACATGTTTTTTTGTCCATTATTATTTACAGTCTAAAGTGAGATCTTGTGTGCCCTTCTGTGAACGGTGGATGAGAGAGAGCTGCAGTGGTTTGGCTGTGATCGTGAGCGTGTTTTGGCCTCGGTGTTGTTGCGATCCCTGTGGTCCTCACCGCAGCTGCTGCTTTGGCCTGGAGCGGTCCCAGGGCACTTTTTGACTTCAGCCCAGCTTCACACGACAGAAAAAACCACTTCCCTTCTGAGTCATCCTCACATTAATGTTTCACTCTGCTAACACCACAAGATGGAGGCCACATGAGATCTATTTTTGTTGCAATTTCAGCATTTACCAAAAGCCTCTTGACCAATAAGAACATTTTTTTTGGTGTATTCTCAGTCGTTCCAGGTACAGAGTTCACTTTGTATACTTGGAGCACGAAGTGAACTCTGTGTTCCAAGTATTCAAGGATTCATGTTAGCTTAGCATTAGCTTCAGAGTAGCACAGAGTCAAAACCACTTTCCCCTGTCCTCCACCAAACCCGACCCCAGCACATGAACCGGTTCTGTAATAACACAGTCTCAGCTTGAAATGTGAAAGATTACACTACATTAGTCTGAAGTCTGTGAGAGATTAGCCTGCTTTGCTTGACACATGCTAGCTTCTCCTAACAAACTAGCATTTAGCTAAACTGGACTGCCGTAGCCTAACTATTTAGGCTTTAGATTTATTTTTTGAGGTTACTGCCAGTCCATTCCTACTTGAAAACACATGATAAATTCACTGCTTTTGGGGTTTAGGGACGTTTCCCCAAAAGATTTTAAACATTGCGTCAGGATAAATCATTATTATTCATCAGAAAATCAGCAAAAAAGCTTAAGTTGTGCCCTTGGATGCTTTGTTAGAGTAAGTGTCTGGAGCAAGGCCAGGTGAGTCTGAGGTTAGACCTTGGTTTGGTCGTGTTTAGTTCAAGCGTTGGTGAAGACGGAGCTGAGTCAAAGCGGAAAGCTCTTGATCTAAAGGTCAATATTAGTTCCTACTCACTCCTAGGGTCGTACCAGATCCATGTAGTTCTCCTTCACTAATATATAGTCATAGGGACCTCATAGGGACCTCATAGGGACCTCATCGCTGGTACATTTCTTGCATCCCGTCTCCCAGTGGTTCTGTCACTTGGAGACTTGTATGCAGCCGCTCTCCTGCAGACGTCTCAGCTCTAACAGTTCTTTTACTCGCTGATGTAACATGAGGATGAAAAAGGAAACACAGGAAACAATGGAGCGCAAAGAAATATTCATGTCATGTTTTGTGGTTTACAGCAACTGTCTCCAGAGATAGAGTAAACTATACAGTCGCTTCACAACATCCCACTGCTAAATGTTTGAAAATTTTGTTTTTTGTGATGTATCATATTGTATAATCCTGTGATTGATAAAAACAAATGCACCTCTTCCCGCTCAATAATGAGACACTAGATAAACAGTAGATGCTCACAAGATTTATTATTAAATTTTTAAGATGTAATTTACAACAACAGCATAATATTATATTGAAATATATTGCATCGTATTGTGATCTTATTACACCTTGTATCCAGTATCATATCGCCAGTATCATATCAACCAGTATTGTATCGCCAGAATAATATTGCCAGTATTGTATCACCAGTATCGTATCCCCAGTAACTTATCAACCAGTATCGTATCCCCAGTAACGTTGGCGTCGCTGGCACCGCCCTAAGTTGGTTTAGGTCTTACCTTGAAGACAGGAAGTACTTTGTGGAGATTGGAAACTGTGTCTCAGATCATATGGCCCTGACCTGTGGAGTCCCACAGGGGTCGATCCTGGGACCTCTTCTGTTCAATCTCTACATGCTGACGTTAGGTCAGTTAATACGCAGAAACAAAGTGTCCTATCATAACTATGCAGACGACACTCAGATCTATGTCTCACTGACTGCAGGAGAACATGGACCAGTGGACTCACTCCTTCACTGTATCCAACAGATCAGTGAGTGGATGCAAAACAACTTCCTTCAGCTAAACGCAGACAAAACTGAAATGATTGTCTTTGGTCCCCAGAAACAAAGAGAGAGCGTCATCTGTCATCTACAGTCTCTCTCCCTAAAACCTTCAAACAAGGTCAGAAATCTAGGGGTAATACTGGACTCAGACTTAAATTTTAATAGCCACATCAAATCAGTAACATCAGCAGCTTTTTACCATCTAAAAAACATTGCCAGGATCAAAAACATAGTGTCTAAAGCAGACTTGGAGATTCTTATCCATGCATTTGTCTCCAGTAGGTTAGACTACTGCAATGGCCTGCTCACAGGTCTGTCCAAACAGGCTGTAAAACAGCTGCAGTACATTCAAAATGCAGCAGCTCCAGTCCTGACTAGAACCAGGAAGTACGACCACATTAGTCCAGTCCTCAGGTCCCTGCACTGGCTTCCTGTGGCTCAGAGAATAGACTTTAAAACAGCTCTGCTTGTTACAAGTCTCTCCATGGCCTCGCACCAAAATATATTAGTGACATGTTAGTCCCATATGAACCAGCCCGGACTCTGAGGAGCACAGGGACTGGACTCCTGCTGGGACTCTGAGAAGCACAGGGACTGGACTCCTGCTGGGACTCTGAGGAGCACAGGGACTGGACTCCTGCTGGGACTCTGAGGAGCACAGGGACTGGACTCCTGCTGGGACTCTGAGGAGCACAGGGACTGGACTCCTGTTAGTGCCCAGAGTCAGAACTAAACATGGGGAGGCTGCTTTTCAGATTCATGCTGCAAAAAAATCTGGAACAATCTTCCTGAAGATGTGAGACAGGCCTCCTCTCTGACAATGTTTAAAACCAAGTTAAAAACGGTGCTGTTTAGCTGTGCATACAACTGAGGGATTTTATATTTTTATATTTCGTTTTAATGTTCTGTGATTATTTATGATTTTAATGCTATCTTGTTCAGCACTTTGAGTTGCCTTGTGTATGAATTGTGCTATACAAATAAACTTGCCTTGCCTTGCCTTGCCAACGTATCAACCAGTATCATATCAACCAGTATTGTATGGCCAGAATCGTATCGCCAGTATCGTATCGCCAGAATCGTATCGCCAGTATCGTATCGCCAGTATCGTATCGCCAGTATTGTATTGCCAGTATCATATCTCCAGTATCATATCTCCAGTATGAAATCGCCAGTATCATATCTCCAGTATCAAAACTCCAGTATGAAATCGCCAGTATCATATCTCCAGTATCATATCTCCAGTATGAAATCGCCAGTATCGTATCACCAGTATCATATCTCCAGTATCATATCGCCAGTATCGTATCCCCAGTATCGTATCCCCAGTATCATATCGCCAGTATCATATTTCCAGTATCAAATCGCCAGTATCATGTCGCCAGTATTGTATCGCCAGTATTATATAGCCAGTATCGTATTGCCAGTATCGTATCGCCAGTATCATATCTCCAGTATCAAATCGCCAGTATCATATCGCCCGTATCATATCGCCAGTATCATATCACCTGTATCATATCGGCGGGTACAAAGCACACTCCTAATGACTAATATCTTATGGATATTTCTAATATAAACTTGTATAAACTGTATTAACATGAGTGAGTTAAACCTTTTGAGAGTGTTCCATCTAAACACACTGCTCTAACAATAAAAACTGTAAACTTTGTGCTCTGTGACTCTGGTCTGTGAGAGGCGCTATATAAATAAACATTACTTACTAAACCGTCTCCACAGTTCAGGCTCCTCAGACTTGTGCTGACTTTAATCTGTCATTCTGATCAGGCAGAGGCCAGGCCAGCCCACAGAGGGAGGTCCTGATTGGAGTTGGTCAGACCTCTGGGGGACACGATTAGAATGAGCTAATTGCATCAGGAGCAACTTCAGGAAGTTTGCATAAGTCATCAGAGGAGAGAAAAGGCAGATAAGGCACGAGGAGATTACCCATGATTCTCTCTGAATACCATATGCACCTGCTCCCAAGGCTGCCTCTGAAGTATCTGTTATCCAGCGCTCTTCATATCTGCAGAGTCACCCAAAACTACTGTCACTTCACTTTCCTTTAACTTACTGTAAATTATCAAGAGTAACTCATTATTCAACTAACTGCATTATCCACACTAATGTTTGGAAAAAGATTTGTGTAAAAACATGTATTCTTGGGTTTCATTTGACGTCAGGGCAGTGGTGAATGACAAACGTAGGACAGGACGTGACGTATCCTGGCGGTGCAGTCTGCCGGGTTTATACACGGAGATATAGTAGAAGAAGAAGAGGTTTATACACGGAGATATAGTAGAAGAGGTTTATACACGGAGATATAGTAGAAGAAGAAGAAGTTTATACACTGAGATATAGTAGAAGAAGCATCTTTTTGTGCGGCGTACGCTAGTAGCAACCGCACAAAAAGAGAGAAAGACCAGAGTTTGTTCATGTTCCAACTGTGGTCTCATATAAAGGAGGACACTTTGAAAAAAATCACTGGAATGAGGCGGCGAGGTGGATCAAGGCTTTCCCAGATAAGCGCCCCCTGCAGGCCACCCCAATGAAGCGCAGCCATTTCTTCTTTTTTTCTTTCCTAAAATGCCCAAAATCAAGACTCTTTTGAGAAATATTTGTTAGAACTTCCTTAGAATTGAGTGTCCCCGATTAAGACTGTTCCAACAACCGTACACCGCACAGGAGGAGAGCCTTTGACTCCAAAACAGACTTTACATGGTTTTCAATGGGAGATGAACTGTCCCACCTCTGCTCATGCGCCCCCTACTGGCCAGTTTAATGAAACCCTAGAACACATTTATCCATAGAATGTGTTTTACAATCCATTCCGTTTCATAATTTTTTTCTCAAATGATATGAAATCTTAAAAGTAACCGCGTTCATTCATGTGAAGTTCTAATTACCCCTCTGGATTTGCAGCGGGCCGTCTTTCTCCGCGGTTCAGAGGTGCATTACATTTCCTGCTGGTCAATTAAAAAAGCAAAGATCCAGATTTCAAAAACCTCCGCTCCGTCTTTCAGACCTGACCCACATGTTGCCATTAACAATCTTCTGCCTCGTCTTAAGGCCATTTACAACTATCCATACACACTTGAGTCAAATTAATTTCCCGAGCGCCACAATGTCACGGCTCTCTATCACCAGATACGGGCAGCAAAGCTAATTCTGCTGCTTCTTGTCTGTCTGCTTCTGAGCGTTTAACGAGCGTTTTCTCAGAGAGCTTTGGTGCCTTTGTGCAGAGAGTCCTGGAGTGGTCAGATGAAGATGGGAGCCGGGTGCACCACAAAGATGCACTTTCATCAGAGTCATAGAAAGTGCTGTTGTCCTTTTGATGGCTTCTGTAAATGGAAATATGTCAGAATAAAAGAAAATCCAAGTCGAGGAAATGAATCAGGCTTTTCTGTGATGTGAAAATCCATTACCAAGTGATTCAAGTCATTACTTAAATACTTACATTTTCTCTCTACAAGTCAAGAAGAAACAATTCTCATATTTGGTCGAAACAGGTCAAATTTAAATGTTTGGATCACACTTTTGGTTTTGTCATTGCTTACTCGGTTAATAGTTTATTTACTCTGTTTGTTCTGTAGATATTTCATCCTATTTTTATAATCTATTTTGTCGTCTTAATAAATTCTGATTTTAGTTACCTCTCTACATATTGTTATTTTGTTGCTTCCTTACGCCTAAGCTGAGCCGTAACAGTTTTCACACTCATAATGATGGAGCCAAAACCATTGGAAACAAACAGGATTCATTTGCGTTTATGCCCAAAGCCAACGGAGCGTCACAAAGTCTTCTCACTGACCAAGATCAATTCTTTGTGATTTTACGGTTATTGCTGTACATGGAACCGTGAGAAGGACTATCAAGACTTTGGGTGAATCTTCATGGTTTATGGTTGAAAGACACAAACAGCACATGGTGTGTACTACGCTGTGTGTGTTTGTTAAAGAAAAGATAAAAGTGATTAGAGAAAAGCTAATCTGGTCTTACCATGTGTAAACTCTGGTCCATGATCATTTCCTACATGTACGTCTGGTCTTACCATGTGTGAACTCTGGTCCATGATCATTTCCTACATGTACGTCTGGTCTTACCATGTGTAAACTCTGGTCCATGATCATTTCCCACATGTACGTCTTTTTTTTTTTCTTTAATTTAACTCTTAAACACACAATAATAATAATAATAATAATACATCAAACTTGTATAGAGCTTTTCTCGACACTTGAGGAGAAGGAGGTAGAATTGGATGTGATATTGAATGGGAGACACGGTGGCTGAGTGGATCGCACTCTCACTTCTCAGCAAGAAGGTCCTGGGTTCGAATCCCGGTCGGAGCAGGGCCTTTCTGAGTGGAGTTTGCATGTTCTCCGGGTGCTCCGGTTTCCCCCACCACTAAAAACATGCACAATAGGTCTGAATGTAAATGAGAGAGTGAATGATGGTGTTGGAGCTGAGGGTCCAGTGTGTTCTGGACTCGCTTCTGTCATCACCGTGTGTGGAAGGATTGGAACAATATCTGACTCTGAACATTGTAAAATGCTTTGGGTCTGTACCTTGGTCTGTAACATGCGCTATATAAATAAACATTACTTACTACTTACTTAGAGTGGAGCTGCTGGAGGACAGGGGGGATGTGTTCTCTGGACCGGGTGAGGAAGCGGGCAGCAGAGTTCTGGATGTATTAAAATCTAACTAAATGCATTTCTCTCAACTTAAACCAGGACTCCCCAATATAGAAATTCTGAAAACTCTGCTTGAATGAATAAAAACATAATTTGATGACATATTGTATGCATTTTTCTCTTATTCAAGATTCAAGATTAATTTATTATGTCCCGTAGGAAATTTGTCTTGGACTCACAGGCTGCTACATTGAAAATACACATAAGACAGACATAAAACACAACACAGGGTATCTGAATATTCCAAATATTGTTGTTCAAGCTTTAGACATCTGCAGACTTTTCGATTTGATTGGCGTCATTTAAAAACAAATTTAAAATCATATTGGTAAATTGTTGACATAGATACAGACTCCCTCCCCCCTTTAAACGGTCCACATAATTCAGTAAGGATGGAACACAGCGAGACTGATGGTCTGAGCCGCGATGCCAAAGGGATGGAGATTAAAATGGAGATGAACTGATAAATATAACAAAGGTCCGGAAAATGGTGCTTGTGTGCCGGAGATAAAAACAAGGCCGCACATGAGGATGCGTGGAATGAGAAAAATAAATGGGAGCGGACCCCCTGTGGGCCGGAGCCGAGCCGGAGATGTGGATGTGCCTAGACAATGGAGAAACACATTTAACCATACTACTTTTGAGAACTTCATCATTTACAAATTATGTGGGTGCCGTGGAGTCGCGAAAGGCATTATCCCAACATATTCTCGCTCCTAGTTCGCTCGGCAACAGCAATGCTATTCCATTTCAGTTTATAGTTCATACTTCAACAAGCACATTAGCATACATTAGCGCACAGATGGGAGTAAATCTCAGAGCGGAGGTGGGAGCAACAGCATATAGACAGAAACCATGTGACGCTTTCTGTATCTCGCTGTTATGACTCGAACAACTCGGTGGTGACGAGGAATCTTGCGTTTTCAGTTGCATTTTTTTAGTCGGCGTGTATTTTTAGTCAATAAAGCTCCCACTGACAAGATGGAAAGCGGCTGAAACATGCTCAGCGCCATCGCTCAAGAGCCTTTTCTGCCAGGCGCCAAAAAAACAACCAAAAAACGATTCCGTGACAAGTACTTTATGCAAACTTTAAAACAATTCTAAACAATGTCTTGATACAGAGATTGGAAGCAAATAGATGTGATATTCTTGCAGCTGAAATGGTACAAAAATGGTCTGATCATATTTAAACGTATTGATAGGTCTGTGAGCATGTGCCCTGACATGTGGGGGTGTACCCGGAAAGAGAATCACCCAATGCTTTTGAATGCCCAGAAAAGCCAGAACTAACTAAAGTAGATAGTGTCTGTCATCGGAGTAAACATGTGGAATGATCTTAATGACCAGCTTAAGTTAATTAATACAAATCAATATTTAAAACTATCTCAAAATGTGAAATAATTAATTCATATACGTTGCCTTAAAAGTAATAATAATAATAATAAAATAAAAATAAAGAAAAGTGAACAAAAATACATCGTTCGAATAAATATGCATTTTATGTTTTAAATCAGTAATATGTACTTGTTTTTGTTTACATAGTCCCAGTGTTTAAGCAGCTAATGACCTGTATGTGCCGTGATGTCAGGTTGGGCTCACAAAAGCTGCTTCAGCCCAATCCTATTTTTGGTTGAAATATAGTCAGTGAATGTGATGTTATTAATCAAACAACTGACCAAAAATAAACATTCATTCATGCCGCCTTTTTTCTCTCAAACGGCTCACAGGATGGTCCGAAAGTCGCTCTTGGTCCAAAAGAGGTCTTCACATTTTCTTGTCTTGCGGCCATTTTGAAAAAGCTCACAAAAGGAAAAAGTGATGGTACATTAGTTTCAACAGCGGAGATAGGTGTGACTACGTCTGTGGATATATACAGTCTGTGATGTGGCCTAAATGCAGACTTTTGAAGGACTTGCATTTTTCAATTTCTTGCATTTGAGAGAAGGTAATGAAGCCTGGCACTCCTTTCCCTGTTCAAGTCTCTCCAAAGGAGTTTGGAAGACACAGCAGAGGTTCACTTGTTTCCTGGTCATGTTCGCAGCACAGTTGTTTGCTTTCAGATGGAAAACAGCACAATTAAAACTAAAATACCTGTTCATTATGTTATGTTTAATCAATCAATCTTTATTTATAGAGCGCTTTTCCTGCACAGGGCAACACAGTCC